TTTTTGGTAGTACAAATTTTTCATTATATTCATGTTAAAATGTTAAACAATTAACAATTTTCTGTATTCTTTATAAAAACATCAAACAATAAGTTTTTTTATAATTAGACAATTATTAATCTTTTAATTTAGTAAATTATAAAACATTGTAACTATGAAAACTAAACATTCTTTTTATTATAAAACAGAGACTGTGATACTAGTTGAAGCATAGAATAAATAAATTCTATGATTAAATTATAATGTAATAATTTAAAACCATCCCCGTACTTGCTTACATAGTAGCCAAAACGTATCCTAGGACCTTTTCATATTTGTTACGCGGTTGCTACATTTCTATTACTGACGAGTCCGTCTATATAAACTCAATGATGTTTGTAGAGATGTTCTGCTAAATAAGTATCCTGCGTTTTTACGTGGTAATATATCTGCGCTCCAATTCAACCGAAATTTCAGCCTCGTACCTAAATTGATTTACAAAATAATCTTTTATGGGTAATTAGGACGTTAATTTCCAACGACATATGCAAAAAATTTATATATTGTCATATAAATTTCAAAGAATGTTATATTTTTTGAGATTTTTAAAAATCTTTTATCTAAGTAACCGTAAAATCGTATTTGCATAATAAAAATAACTTTTGTGTCTAAAAAAAAAAAACTAAAAGGAAAAAGATAGAGAAAAGGATATCAGAATAAAGATTGTTCTAAAACAAGCAATTCAGAGAACAGTTAAAATTTTTAGTGTTTTCACTGAATCTTTGTGAAACTATTACGGAATGGATTGCTAAGGTTCTCCTGATAAAAATGAGTCTTGACACGACTTTATTCAAATCATGTTAAATTATATCGTCATCACGATTTTTCAGACACTTCCGTTAATCTAACAAAAAGTGTTTCGAATAAAAGTTAATTAGCTTCCAATCGGCTACAAATTGCAATATAAGAAATTTTTAAAAACATTGTTTTTTCAATCAAAAGTCATCTGGACTGTTTTAAATGACACTAAATACATATTTTTAACTTCATACTGTTATAATAGGTGATGTTAATACGAGTTCAACGACCTACTGTACTATGACTTTGAAATTACCCAGAATATTGAAATGTCGGCTTAATTAAGGGAAATGTTATAGTTAAAAATTATTTTATTTCGATGAAATTACACATTATAAAGTGGTGAGCTTCAACAAGAAAAATATTAATCATTTGCACGTTACAAAAGAAGCGTAAACAGTGTACAGAAACAAACATACCTTGTGTAGTGTTGCAGTACCTTTGTGCGTTCAATTATAATAAATACTCGAATTGTTATAAAGTTGTTTCAATGCACGTATAAAATTTTTCTGTAGAGTCATTTACAGTCGATGGTCTACACTGTGCCAATTTAAAACATTGCACACCTAGAGCAGCGAATCCGCACAGCATGTCCAGAAGTTCATTGTGACAGCATTGTAAATAGCAGTAACCAATATAAATTTACTGCACCATTTAGAATTGTGCTTACAAAACGATGGGTTAGAAGAAGGGATACCTTTCAGCGGAGGAGCAGAAAGATGTGATGAATGGCGAGACTTACCCACTAATAGTCGCCCCTTTAGCTAGAGAGATGAGCGGTGTCGGTACGGTGCTAAAGGATGAGAGACATCTGCTCTCTGCGTCTGCGGAAGAGCATAAAGGGAAGAGGCTCCCCTTTCTGCGGAGCTGCATCAGGACGAGGGATCTGGTCACTTCTTATAGCGGTCTTGATAAGTGGGCGTTGCCGGGCAAGTCCCCTTGTCACTGCTAGCCTATGGGTTGAGAAAATTAATGGGGGGAGGTAAAGTTACACCACACCTCCCCTCCAGGGCGGGTCGAAAGACAATGGCATGGGGAGGGCTGCAGACATCATTCTTAAGAGTTGCCGTGGCCCTCCCTAGTGTGCTCGACGAGGGTCCCCGTAGAGGTTTTAGTGGATAAATGAAAAAAAATCCCACACTAACCCGCCTCCCCCAGGGAACTTTACCTCCCCCATTAACTTCCTCCACGCACACAGTACTTACTTCAATTATATACCGTAGGAAGATACTACTTACTTATACAAATTTTGATGACATCTCAGAGTAGACATACTCAAAGATAGCCAATTTTTGACGGCATGTAAGTACTTTAGTTTTTAGAGTAAAACTAAATAAGTAGTTCTATTAGTTATTTTGCTGCGAGTTAAAAAAAAATTTTGTATTTTAAAATTTATATTTAATGTAAAATTGAAACGATAATTGTAAATAAGATGTTTATAGTATAATTTTTGAACCTTTTTTAGTCAAGTAATTAGATTTTTGTTTTAAATATTTTGTATTTACAAATAACATAATACAAAAAAATCATAATCTTTAATAATTGTACTTGTTCTCAACGATCTATTCACTTTTCAAATGAAATATAGCTTTGCGCGATCATGCAAGCGTTTGGAACACTGTGCGTCGTACTGAAAGCTGCGTGTAGTCCTGGGTTCGGTAACATCAATAGAGAAATAAGACAAAGTCTGTTAATCGCATAATCGTCAGTTTCACATCATGAAAAATGAACGAATAATGAATAATAATGAACGAATAACAAATAAACGATTAAGGAATTGTAATTGAATAATAAATAACGAACAAAATTCATCTATTATTCGTTGACATTGCAACTCAGTTACAGATGTTTATAGTTTTCATTAGATCTTCAGGAAATCATCTACATTTTGCGGACTATATCTTATAAACAATAAATTTTACAATGGTATTATGACAGTATATGTAATTAAAACCAATTTTAATGAATTTGGATTCAGTTTCATGAACAGAATCTCACAAATTGATAATATTCTCATTATACTGCAATAAAAAACATGAGAACATAATTTCTGATTAGTGAATGATTCGTTCCATGTGCGTGTTCTACCGCTGTCGAGAATTCGTCTTCTACCCACGCAATCTAATATATGTAAATATTTTTACAGATTTAACAAAAAAGGACCTTTTACATATGTCAACTTTACCATCATTGATGGTTGGATTATATATAATTCCGAAACGCACCGCTCTATTATCATAGATGGCATAACAAAACCTTTGAAACATAAAGTCCCATAACATGATAGGTCTATTCTGTACCTTGTTTATGGTTTTATATTTAGAAGTGCCACAAATATTCCATTTTGAAAGGAAATTTAAATCAAATAAAAATATTAAAGAATGCATAAAATAAAATTTAAAGATTAACAATATAAAAATATAATATTGTCATAGACATTATAACTAATGTAGAATTTATTTAAAATTATTATATTAGTTTAGTCATTATAGTTTTTTTATTACTTCTACATATCTATAATGTATTACCAAGCTTTTTTATTCACTGAAATTAATATCAGAACTTTTCCCTTTAAAAATACGTAAATTGATTGATAAAAGTAGGATACATAAATACGTGTTCAAGGTAATCTTGATCACTCATTGTTAAAATAAATACTTCGAATATAGAACAAACTTTGTCATGATAAAATATGTTTATTCATTTTTGTGTAATATATCATAATAAAAATTTAAATCGTGTTTCAATGATATTGTTTAAGACATTTTTAAAATCCTACATACAGTTAACGGACAAAATGGATTACTTTATTGATGACGAAACTATTCGTAAAATAAAGATCAATTATTTGAAAATTTGCTAATAAAATTTGTAGTTCCCTCCCTTACCAAAGAAGTCGAAAAATTTCTAAGCCTTACTTCCTATTACTAAAATATAAGAATAAATAATTATTTACAAATTTTTTTAAATTGTAATTATTTTTTTATATTTTATTATTTGACATTCTAACTAGCTATATGATTAAAGTAACAAATACGTAAAAATAAGATTTATAAAAATATGATTCTACCATTTTTAATTTTAAACGTTAACATCTAAATATAAATGAAATCATACAAGAATGTTTGTTCAAAGAATAATAAATAAACAGAATAAAAGTGATTTTTACACGTGCTTGAGGTACTTTGTATTAATTACATTAACAAAAATTTATTATGACAAATATTTCTCATAATATTTTTAATAATATATCTTCAAAAATCAAACAACTGCAATGTATCTTACTCAAAAATGTATACTTCTATTTAACAAAATATTATATAAAATAATTTCCATGTTTCTT